TGTGCTAATGCTGACAAGCAACACACTGCTAGGAGGAGAGAGCAGTGTGTTGGGGGTCAATAGTCACAACAGGAAGTGAGAGGAAATCCCTCCAAAGAGAGGGAAATGCCTGGTGATCAGCAGGGGTCGCCAGAACTAGTGTCCCCATTGATTTCCCATCTCTTCCTGTTCTGGTGACAACCAGAAATTGGGGATTTTATTCTCCTTCAGTGATAGTAGTCACCAGGACTCATAGAGGGGGTGAATCTCCCTAATGGGGACACAGACAGCAAATAAAACCTGACAGGGGTTCTAATCCCTCTCCACTCCATCCAATACTAAAAAAGGTTTTGGCTTCAGTTGCACTCTGAGAATGAAATAGGAATTAAGTAAAGTTCTATAAATAGAGTGAATGATGTGTGTGGGAGGAGCCGAGTACCTCAATTTATGGCCCACATAGTAACATAGTAACTATGTTACTATGATGTGAAAAAACAATATTGTGCCGAGCTAATAATCATACATATCTAATAAATTGAAACATATATAAATGAGTCACATATATGAGCCTTCAAACAAATGAGGCATAAGAAATATCTACACACATACAAAAAAGCAATATAGGCAAAAAAAGTCCCAAGGAAAAAACAAACGCAAACAATGGTGATTGTGCAAAAAATTCCTCAGATGATTCGCAGCCAATGTGCATATAACTCTCAGGTAAGGATAATCACACAATGCAGGCAGACCTTCACCTCCACCCAGTGAGTGATGATAACAAGTGAATGCTCACCTGGGGAGGTAGACCCACAGAGCTAGGTCAAATGCACTTTTTCCCTTCTTAATGGGGGAGGGAAGCCCATGCACAGAAAAAGGCGATAAGGTCTCCTCAGATCACAGGTACCAGTATAAATCCAGGTGGAAAGAGAAAAAGGACAAGGACATAGTGCGTAACGTCCAATAAAATGCAATTTATTATATAAAAAATGCGTACTCACAATGGTGTAAACAGTACAGGCATTGGGTATTGCTGGATCATACCAGCAGGACAAATGGCAGCAAAGTGATAAGAAAACTGTTCGTCCGGCTCAGCGTGGTGACATCAGGAGCTCTGCCCTACATACGTTACGTCAAAACACGTGACTTCGTGTTTTGAGACCCCTGACGAAGTCACGTGTTTTGACGTAACGTACGTAGGGCAGAGCTCCTGATGTCACCACGCTGAGCCGGACGAACAGTTTTCTTATCACTTTGCTGCCATTTGTCCTGCTGGTATGATGTCACCTACCTCTGAAAAGTAGGACACTCGTTCAAGGACCGAGAGCCCGACAGTTGCTCAAAAGAGAGAGGAGGGGACCCGGCGGCATACCTTAGCCCGCCAGGTGACATCCTCTCTCTGCCGGCGTCCATCACCAAGATGGCCGCCGGTAGGTAACAGCTGTACAGCGTATGACGTCATCACGCCCATACGCGATGACGTCACTGCGGGGTGTCACCCGGTACTCGCACCGGGTGTCACCGTGCCTCGGCATGGGGGCATTGCATGATTCTTACAGCCACAGGCGTGGCTCCCATACTGGGATTTGTAGTTAAAGCACAGCTATAGGGCAGAATAGCCCACCCCGGTCTTGTCCCTGTAGGCAAAGTCTGGAGACATTGAGAGACGTGTTACACATCCTGAGAAATGTTTACACATGGAATGTTGGGTCCAGAGGCATAACTAGTGACCTCAGGGTCCCGATGCAAGAATCCATGAAGGCCCCCCCTCCCCCCCTCCAAAAAGAAACAAATTAGTTTTTTTATTTTTTTTTTTCAAACAAAATTTAGACAAGGGGAAAAAAAACCCCACTCTCCTCTTTCATGTCCCCAGCTCCCCATTATCTCCCCCTTCATGTCTCCAGCTTTCCACTCCCGGACCCCATGTCACCTTCCAGCTCCCTGTCTCCCCCTTCGTGTCCGCATCAGCTCTATTCGGCACTGGGCAGCCGTTCTGTGTGATGAGGGGGCGGGGATTACACCGCTGCCACTCATTGGCTGCTGCCCGGCTGGATGATACTTCACGCTGCGCCCGAAACAAGGTGAGGGGAGCAGCGTGAAGCATGTAGGGCGTAGGACAGGAGGAAGAGGTCCCGGGACTGACATTAGCGGTTACCGGGATAATAAATATCCTGGTAATCAGCGGTCACCAGGGGCCCCTTCCTCCTGTCCTGGGCCCCCTTCCAAGTGGCGGAACTCCAGGGCCCGGTCGCGGCCGCAACCCTGGTATTTCCGCCACTGGTTGAGTCTGCGATTGTGTAGAGAGACCTCCATGACACTTCAAGAGCCTGTACATATCCAGCTCAGAAGAAATGAGACAGATAAGAAAATGAAAAGTTTACAAATTTGATATTTTCTGCGTTACAAAGAAATAAAAATGGAGCGGTGGGTTAGGTAGGTCTGGCTCAGGTGTGTAGGCCGTAGAGTGAGTCAAATATTGACTCTGCAGATTCCCTGAATTAGATCTTTCCATCCAAATAATAGCAAAACAAATATACTTAGTGGGCGGGACGCCGTCATCATTCCATGACTAAGATACAGAACCTGTATCTATGGAGGGGCTCTTACCCACCGAGCACCTTGTGACCGCTGTCACCTTCCTGCAGTCCCATGTATGAGTATAGAGCACACGCAGACCGCATGTGTCACGTCACCTATGAATGAAACATTGTTTATTCACACAGCAAGGAAACTTCATCATCATCATCACCCCTAAAATGTATGTATAGGTGATGCCTGGAGGGATCAGGCAACCCTTTCTATATGGACGGTGGGAGCCCCTCATAATGGGCACAGCAGGTGTACAGACCCGGGAACTCAGCACCGGGATGGTGGGAGCTCCTCATAATGGGCACAGCAGGTATGCAGACCGGGGACTCAGCACAGGGATGGTGGGAGGCCCTCATAATGGGCACAGCAGGTATGCAGACCCAGGAACTAAGCACAGGGATGGTGGGAGGCCCTCATAATGGGCACAGCAGGTGCACAGACCCGGGAACTCAGCACAGGGATGGTGGGAGCTCCTCATAATGGACACAGCAGGTATGCAGACCGGGGAACTCAGCACAGGGATGGTGGGAGCTCCTCATAATGGGCACAGCAGGGGTACAGTCCCGGGAACTCAGCACAGGGATGGTGGGAGCCCCTCATAATAGGCACAGCAGGTGTACAGACCCGGGAACTCAGCACAGGGATGGTGGACACCCCTGGACGTGGCCCCAGACTCAGCATTGCTGGGACAGAGATCCAAGAAGTGGGACTCTCCCAGCACATGCAGGACCGATATGCATCCATCTGCTCCAGGTTCCCAGTACTCCCTCATACATCACACGGCTGCACTGTGACGGAGATCGCGCACGCTGAACAAGCAATGACAGCTGCAGCGCGCGGGACTGACGCCATATTGCGGAATTGTGTGACAGCTGACGGAAGCGATTAAATGAGGAGAGATAAGAGCCGGCGTTCGGATCTTCTGTACAGAGAGGGTGTCACAGTGACAGGTGGACGGCTGCCGGACGGGTACACAGGAAGGGCAGGTGCGCAATTCCACCACACTGCTGATTAACCGATCGATAACCAATCAGCGCCGGCACAGCGCGTCTCCGGGAGAGTCTCGTCCAGGTTCAAGGTTCTTCTGCTCATTATCAACCACTGGGCTTCAAAAGTCAACGGTCCTGTGTGACTTATTAACTGATCCTTCCGCCTGCGCCTGCACTGAAGAGTCAATATCACTCTCCAGGAATCCATGTGACCACTCCAGTCCAGGACCAAAGTCCGATCCAGCGGGCCCTCCCCCTCCATGGATGTAAAGGAGATTGTACAATCAGACTGTGGTGAGCTTCAGTGTATGGACATTCATTGTATACAACCTGCCCGGCTGGGCCCCAAAGGGAACACCTGTGCGAGAAGGCTCTGATGGCAGCAGACCTCAGAGCCTTTATTGTATACAACCTGCCCGGCTGGGCCCCAAAGGGAACACCTGTGCGAGAAGGCTCTGATGGCAGCAGACCTCAGAGCCTTCATTGTATACAACCTGCCCATCTGGGCCCCAAAGGGAACACCTGTGCGAGAAGGCTCTGATGGCAGCAGACCTAGCACGAGTCAAGGGGCTCATTCTCATTTCAGTGAATAGGTCACCTGGTGACATAAGGTTGAACCAGCCGGAGGATGTCAGCTTCCATCGCAGCCTAAAAATAATAACTAAAAAATAAATAAAGTTGCAAGCGAAAAAGACTAAAATATAACAATATATTACAACAGGCAATAAGAATAAAAGTGAGAAAAGCAATAATAAAAATAACAATAATAAAAACAATGTAACAAATAATAATATAACAAATAATAATAGCAATCATTCTTATATTTATTATTGTTATGTTAATGTAAATAATAATAATATTAGTAATATTGTAACAAAAAAAATCTAACTAATAA